ATTTGACTTTTGGATATTTTATATTGAATATTTGAGTTCCATATTACACTAACATATTTTCTCTTTTGAAGCTTAATTTTATTTTGCTATAACAAAAAGGGGGAGAAATATGTATACGTGTAAATTTGCTAGCTAAAGATCGTTTTTGTCAAAAATTGTTTTTCTAAGGGGAAACTTTATTTTTCACAAAATATGACAAATAAATTTCTTAAAGCAAATTTTCACATAATATTTTGTTATATGAAAAATGGGAGATTGTTGAACTAACATTTGATTTTGATATAACATCATTTTTAAATGTTTTAAGTTGTTAAAATTTGCAATTAACAATTTTATAAATAATTTGTCATAAAGCATTTTTAAAGCATTTTTAAGTGTTAAAAATAATCCTAAGTGTTTTTGAGTTAATCCGAATTTAATAAACATTATTTTTAAAGCTCAAAACACTTATTTTTAGCCAATTGAATTGTCATTTTCGAGACCACTCAAACAGTATCGATACTAATATTCTAGAAAAGTTTTTGGTATCGGTACCAATGTATCAGTCTTTAGACCAAAGGGTGGGTATCGATACTGATTCAAATAGTATCGATACTGAAGGCTCAACTGCTACAAATTTGACTGTTGGAAGGCTCGCTCTTGATACTGACTTGTTGGTCTCGATACTAAATGTGCATGTGAGCATTAAATGCTCAAAATTTATGAAATTAACGGCTCTATTCAATCCCCAACAGCTCCAAACGACTATATTGATGTTAGAAGACATAAAATGGACAAAGTTTCAAATGGAGAACAACAAAAAAGTCAATTGCAAGATTATTTCAACATCAAAAGAGTTTTTAGTGCTAAATTGTGTAACACCCCCAACCCGTACCCGACCCGGATACGAGTTCGAGATGTCACATTGACTTTTTAAAACAATATACATAAACAAAATAATAAAATATTTGAACTTATATTAAGAAAATATGATATTATACATAGGTTTATATAAAGTTCACAAAATACTCAGAGCATACACAACTTAAACCTTTGGTTACATGCCAACGGTGATTTATATAAAAAAAATGACATACAATTTAAGTTGCTACTGATCTGATGGTTGCAAGAGTAATGTTATCCCAGCTGTCTACTCTTGCTTGTCTACCTTCTCGGATCCTACGTGTGAAACACTCACACGCTAAGTCATCGACTTAGTGAGACACAATAATAATAATCTATAAAATCATAATACTATCATGAATGAAATATCATGCAATCCAATATTTATTCTATGCAATTTACATAACTATACATTTCACATATAAGCTTATCAATTTAATAATCATAAATTGATATTAATAATTAAATTAGCCCATGATACAATAGTGAGAACATAATGTATGTGAGTACCTTGAGGTTGTGCACTATGTTGTCACCACAGCTCGTATAAATGCACAGAAGTTCCACGTAGAATTGTACCGAAGTGCCGCGTAGAATTGCACCGTAATGCCATATAAAATGTCCATAAGGACCACATAGAAATTCCTTAAGAATCATATACATATTCCAATGACCAATTTTGTGTCTCTAAGGACCTCATAAATGTTCCAAATGATACATATATGTCCCGAAGGACAGCGTAGACCCTCAACTCTTGGCATGCCAATTATACCTATAGCTCTCATCTACATAACATGGGCTTTTACTTTTCATGTAGTTCATATCTCATAGACAAATAAATTCATACCTTTATTGCATGGCTCATGTAAACTTTTCATACATATTCACTCAAATCATTGTCACATAATACATATAATATGAATTCATGTCATGTATCATATTATGGAATGTAAACATGTATTAGGAGTATTTGAACTAGACTTATCACAAGTCTAAATTTTGATATACTATTATAATCTTACTATGCATATGCACTCACCTATATCTCTTTGTCTTTTCCTCGATCAATCTTACTTGTCAATTGTTGTGGAACTTGTTTAGGCTCAGTATCTACATAAATATAATTTCCAAGATGATTATCAGAAGCCTAAACATTATAATTCGATTCTAATAACTTAAGCTAATTAATGAACAATTATTTACATTTTCCCCTCAAGTGGTATCGGTACCCCTAAGTACGGTACCGATATTTCCCTTTAGAAGGGTATCGATACACTACTAGGGTATCGGTACCCAAATTAAATTTGATGTTTACAGGTATCGATACCTACCTTATGGTATTGATACCCATAGTATCGATATTACCCCTTTATGTATCGATACCTCATGAAGATATTTATCTAAAATAGTCTTAGGGTATCGGTACCCATTCATAGGGTATCGGTACCCCTTGCCGGAACAGGCTACTTCACCAGAAAAATCATCAACACTTCACTAAATTTCCATGTATAAAGCTTCTTTAATACCACCAAGCTCAACTACAACCATTGAAACTATCATTTATCTTCTTAACACCTTATAAACTTAAACATCTCCTTCTAATTCTTGAAACTAAGAAATTTACCAATTTTTCATACAATCCAAATTTAGTTTTAACACTTATTATTTATTGTTCACGCCTATGACAAGTCAAATTTAGCTTCTAAATTCACTTAAGTCTTATTCAAATTTTCACTTATGCACTTCTTATATTCAATCCTCCATAACTTAAAACTCTTTGTGTTTCTAGGTCACTTTTTATCTCCATCATCTTTCCTAAGGCTTCATTAACCATAACCACACTTGAATCTTAAAAATTAACCAAAAGAAAACCAACTTACCTTAGCTTATGGTGCTTCATGGTTGGAGAAGAAGAAGATGAAAGAAAAGTTATCTGGAAACATTTGTTTCCTACACATGCCCCACGTGGGTATTAAAAGAACCATAAAAAATTTAATTATCTCCCATTGTTCAAAGACCCATTTGCCCCTTGACTCCTCCTTCATTTGCTAACTTATCCTATACAAAATATTTTAATTAAGTCATTGGATTTTTCAATTTATCTAGTTTGGTCACTAAATTTTAAAATCTCACAATTTGGTCACTAACTCGATATTGAGGATGTTACAAATTGTCAAATTCTTTGTAAATACAATTGTGAGATTCTTGTTTATTCTTTCTCAAGTGTAATCTGAGTGTGTGCTTAATTAGTTGCAAACTCATTAGCCTTTGTGAGGTTTTCTTTTGTTTGCTATGTTTGTAATTTCTCTTTGGGAGAGTGTGTAAGCAAGGTTTTGAGGTATAAACCTTGTGTGTCTTTGTAATATTACAACTTATCCTTAAAGGTTTGCAAATCTAGTGGATTTGAGAAATCCTTAGTGTGGATAACTAAGGTAGTGGATGTAGACTTGGTTTAGAAATCGAACCACTCTAAATCATTATACAAAATTTTAATTTTCGATTGCATCAACCACAAAATTTTCAAAGGCTAATTCACCCCCTCTTGGTATATTTCGGTTATTCGTTAGAGCTAACACATTTCAAACCTTTTCCGTTTGTTTTACGATGTTTTGTCGCATTATCCGATGCCAAAAAGATCGTCAAACTTAAACCCAATTAGTCCAAAGGTTACAACAGGGTTGACGCGGCTCACCTCAGATTGTACCAATTAAAAAACCATTTCTCTAAGCCACATCATAATGGTGTGAGAAGTTTAACGGCAGAGTGAAAAAAAACTCAATCTATAAAGCAGAGTGAGCAAATTGAAAATATTAAAAATACGATGAGTAAAATAGAAATAATATGAAAGTTCAGTTATCAAATTTGTAATTTACCCTATAAATAAACATAAACAAGAAATTACGATGGTTAAATACTTAAAATATATGTCAATGTAACCAAAGAGCTTTTTTCGAATGTTTATGGTAAAAATTAAAGGGCCGTTTGGTTCACGGCATATGAGATTACCGGGGGAATTGAATCCCCATTCCCCCGTTTGGTTGGCCAACATTCCCAGCCCCCGATAATCTTTTATTACCAACAATGGATTTTTTTGGGTATATTACCGAGAATGTGATTACCCCCTTCCCTTAGGTATTGTTGGATTACCGACGTTTTGGACTAAAATGCCCTTAATATTTTTTTTTCAAAAATATCATTCTTTTGTCATTAAATAATAAAAATTCTACGAAGGTTAAATTACAAATTTATCCTTAAACTATTTTAGATTTACAAAAAAGTCTATAATTAAAATTTTATATGAAGTTCAGGGGTTAAAATAAAATTTTACCCTTTCATTAAACCTATTTATCTTTTCAATTTTGTAAAAAAATATATAAATTTTATGAATTTAAAATTTTTAAAGAAAATATATAAATTAATTATAGTAATATTATAGTAGAATTCAACTTGTTCAAAAAATAAATATATAATAAGGATAATTTGGTAAAATATACATTCCAATAATCTTTTATTCCTTTAACCAAACATTGCAATCTTACATTCCTGTTAAACCAATCAAACACAAAATACAACATTCTCGTTAATCTTATTCCCCAATAATATTTTATTCCCACTTGTAATCTTACATTCCGTGAACTAAACGCACTCTAAGGTACAAATCTAGGGTCAATCATCCATCCATCTTTCTTTCTATATATATATATAGGTTAAAACCTATTTATAAAGTGTAACATTTTAAATTTTACAAATATTTAGAATTATTAGGTAAGTGAAAAGAGATGGATAATATTACCCTTTTCCTTCTTCATTTTTAACATTTTTTTCATATATTTAGAATTCATAAAAGTAAATTGTTTAAGTGATGAACAGTAGTTGGCTCTTACAAAAGAGATGACATCATTAGCCCAAAACAAAAGAAGACAAAAAGACGAAGGAAAAATAACAAAAAGACGGTGCCTAAGTAACATTTTATTGCAAAAGGTATGAACCGATTAATTTGATTTTATTATTAGAAGAGTGCCAAACTAAACATGCGAGTGTTATTTGTTATAGTTGAAACTCGCCATTCTCATAAAAGGAAAATATAATTTAAAATTCTCAGAAGCAAGGACAAAAGGAAACAAAATACAAAAGAATAGTGGAGTTGGCTAGTTTGGTCGAGTGCAATCCCGTCGAATTTCGCCTTGATTCCCTGTCAAGACCCCTACTCGGCCTAGCTTGGTCACGGCAGCCACGAAAGCCTGGTTGAAAGCCGTGTTTCTCGATGCAAAAAGGTTGACAGTGTTTCTCGACCTCAGGTCCGTAAACAGTACTTGATCCGATGTGAACAGACCCATCCCTTGCTGAAGATTCTTGTAGTAGACGTTGTCGAACGTTCGAGGCGTGTTCGGATCCATGTTGATGGCGATTCTAGGGTCGACATTTATCGGGCACATTTGTCTCAGCTGCATGGCGTATTGGAAGTTGAGTGTTGGGTCGACACGGCTTCTGGGGCTGAAGTTGTAGATCCTCTTGGAGAACTTAGCACAATGGGCGAATCCTAAGGTGTGTGCACCTGACCAAACACATTCTCATCAGAATTCGAATCATTTCATATTTATTCGAAATACTCGAGTTTGGTAGGAGTGTTATTTTTTCCGAAGTTACCCGACAATGCAATCATATCGGTCTGAGAGAGACCATGCCTGGCAAACATGGTATTGAGTTGGTCTAGGTTGAAACTAGGCTGAGGAAGCTGCCTTTGAACACTGGCTATCGTCGATATCCTACCGTCACGTCTTCCCAATTCCACCGTATAAAATGGCCCTCCCGTCTGAATAATATAAATTAATTAATTAATTTTTTTAATTATATATAAATACCAATATATGTAGAAAGAATTGTATGAAAGGAGATACCAATTGTACGACTTCTCTAGTGGCAAGAGCTAAGATGTCTGCACATGAAACTTTGTTTCTGCACTGAGGATTGCTATCAACAGCCGCCTTTGCTTGGATCACCGTGTCGAATCCATCTCCGGCTAGCGAAACATCATCCGGATGATCCTTCTCCGCTTTTCCGTTCGCCGATGCCAGCAAAATCGAAGCATCACACCCCTATATACATAAGGTCCCATGTTATTACGGTAACAGCATCTATCACATCTACCATCACGATCGATAACATCTTAAGCTGTAAATCCACTTACACGAACAAAGCAATCATGAAAGAAAAGCCGGAGAGTTGCGGGAGCAGTCACGAAGGTTTGCTGGAACTTCTGTCGGACCGCCGACTGGACAATCGACTCAACATTGGGACATGTTGTACTGTAGAAGTTTGGTGCTAGACTAGTGGTCTGAGCAGAAATGGTAGTCGAGAGGAGAGGGAGAAGAAGAAGAAGAAGAAGCAATGAGACAACGATTTTGCTTCCGTTTTCCATGATCTTACAACTCTTTTTTTATGCTCCTTTGAATGAATGTTTTGTTTGCGTCTGTAGCATTATGTATTTATGGAACAGAATAATATTAGCCAATAAAACTCTGGCAGCGTTGAACAATACAGTGATACACTCTGTGAGAAAATTATTATTTTCTCACGTTCTCTTACCACCTTAATCCCACAAATATGTACATGTTTTGGAGACTGGTCCAAACGATTGCACATGGATTTTTTTAGGGATAACATGCAAGTTTAGGGTAAAATTTGATGTGATGCAAAGGCGGCGGATAACGTGAAGGTATAGCGAAGTGAATAAATAATATAGAAGAACAAAGCGTGTCTACTTTGCCAACTCAACCGCATGTTACTTCTCAACAACTCTCTCAAACAAATGTTTTTGCCATTCTATCACCTTGCGACTTTGCTGGTTATAATTTTTTATATCTTTCGTGATAGGACTAATCAGTATTATAGTTTATAAGTTACAAATATAAATATGTTGAGAAAAAGTGGGATTGTAATGGTCATGGACTATGCCATTTTTTATTTTTATATTTAAATTATTTTATTGATAATTTATTTTAGTCTCTTCGAATTTTAAAAATTTGTTTTCCTTCTAAAATTTTAGGTCCGTCTTAAAAGATGTGTAGTTCATGTTTTACTTTTTAAAATGAGACTACTAAAATATTTTATAATAAGAAAAAATTGTAAAATATCAAAATTTATCGTATTACAATTATTTTTATACAATCAAAAAAATTCAAACATGTCACAAAAAAATTAGATTGATTGACTTCTTTACCGATTTTTTTTAGTGTGCATATAATAGGAAAAATATTTTTTTCAAAGGTAGGCCCTAAAATTTGGAGTATTATGCCTGTCAAATGCCACATTTATACATGGACGAGCCTAGTATCTCTAACATAAAGTCTTATACCCTTCTCTGTAATTTACTTATTTTAACTTGAACAAAGAATTGAAGAAGATTATGAATGGTAAAAAGCTGGGAAATGGCGTACTAGAGAGGGAGGGGGTCATTTATTGAGTTATTTATGGTAGTTTATATATTGGTCCTTCATGTTTGTGTCTAGAGTTTTGGTGATTATCCTTAGATTGATGAGACAAATAGATATGACTGTCATATAATAAATTTAGTTCTGATAGATTACGTAGATCTGTCAATAACCGTGTCAAGAGATTATAACTAGTTGGAGGACATAAACCTCGTAAGCATCTAGGTACTCCGAAGGCTTTGGAAGAGTTTCACCCAAAGTTTCAATAGGCGGAGGAGTAACTTATTAATTAAATAATATATCTAAATTAATTATATCTAATATTATTTATTATAAAATATAATTAACTTATTAATTAAGAGTCTGGAAAATTCCCCGGCTGAAGTTTTCTCTCGTATTAAAGAGGTTGTTGTTCTCAAGTTGAAGGGTAAGATTTACAACAGGGCGGGGGCTATTAATGAGCAGGTTTGTATAGGTTGGGATTTGAATTAATGGTCTGGGTTGGAGTTTTGTGTGGTCATGAATCGTGTAATTATTATTTTGTTTTATTGCAATAGAATGTTCATATTCATCGATAAGTTAATAATTAAAATAATATCAAATATATTTAAAATAGTTACATATAATAAAATCTAAATAAGAACAGAATGTGTCACACAGACATAGAGTACTAAACGTAAGTGCATGCATCTACAGAATTTCCCAGCTGTATATGAATGTAGTGTTAGAGTGTCCATAGAAAACTATTAAGGTGGCGAAGAAAACAATCATATCCATATAGCAGGTCAACCGGCATAGACAACTGAATTTAGGGTTGCTTTCTTGACTTGACTTCCCAATATTGTCTAATACACGTATTTTGGCTGAGTTTTCTTTTGTATATTATCTAAGTTCCAATGGAGCAATAATAAAGGGAATGTCTAAGGAAAGGCGGGTTAATATACGGTTAATATATGACGTTACTAGATACATTAAAAGATATTTAATAAATTCGGTTTAGCGCTACCGGAAATGTTGTCTAATAATAATGTAGTAGGTCTAAGTCATGAAGAAATATTAAAAAATTGTGCAACCGGCAAACTTAACTTGTCGGTTCGTGTCGATCCAAATTAAAAATGTGTCGATCCAAAACGATATAACAGGTAAAACTATGACAAAACCAGTATTGAAATGATAAAACCGGTAAAAACGCTACCGAATACATTTAAAGTGTCGGTACTTTAATATAAGGATCGACACTTCGTGAATTTAAAAGAGAAGCAGTTTTAAATCCTATAAAGTGTCGATACTTTTAAAAAATGTATCGATCCAAAACGATATACCAGGTAAAAATATGATAAAACCGGTAACAAAATGATAAAACCGGTAAAACGTTACCGGATATATTGAAAGTGTCGATACTTTATATAAGGATCGACACTTTGTGAATTTAAAAGAGAAGCAGTTTTAGCGCCTATAATGTGTCGATACTTTAAAAAAAAATATCGATCCACAACGATATAACAGGTAAAAATATGATAAAACCGGTATCAAAATGATAAAACTGGTAAAATGATACCGGATATATTGAAAGTGTCGATACTTTCGTAAGTACTTGTAATAAATTATCGACACTTTCAAAGAAATAGGTAATTATCCTTTCGAAAGTATCGACACCTGACATAAAAGTATCGACACTTTTGTATTTGTATCGATTAAATATAAATAACATATCTGATGAAAATATAAAGGTCATAGCTAAATATCCTCTGAAAATAGATAGAACGGACGAGTTTTTGAAATCGAAGCGTAATTGTTGCTGCATTTCAGAAGGCGTTTTCTAAAGCGAAGTTTGTTTGTTTGTTGCTGCAGTCGAATCGAAAAGTATGTTGTCGAAACCCTAATTTTTTATTATTACAGTAATCGCGATAGGGTTTTTATGTGTTGTTTGGGGTTTTGGAGTAAAGAACATTTGGACCGATTGCAGGTAGAAAGTGATATTCAAGGAAAAATATAAATGTCGATACTTTTATTAAATATTATAGGTAGAAAATGATATTATAGGTTGTATAAATGTGTCGACACATTTTGGTGTGGCCATTCAAATTCTTTTGAAGAAAACTGTTTTACCACAAGAGTAGTTATCTATATTTGTATATTGAATAAAGTGTATGTAACAAAATAATTTGATTTGCGTAAACTGATATATGAAGGAAAAATGGAGTCAATGGGTTGGAAAATTGTTGGTGGAGCAGATGACTTTGAAATTGAGGCCGAGACTCGAAAGTAACCAAAGGGTGGATATATGTACTTCTAGTAAGTATCAATGTCTTTTTGTTATTATTGTTGAAATGGTAATTGGATTAAAGTATCGATAAACTTTAAATTGATTACAAATTTTAAATGTTGACAGTATGACCGAATGCAAAAGGATGAAGGAAGATGGCACACAGAGCGGTTCGGTATGTAAAATGAAATTGACATTGAGTAGTATTTAGTGTTAATGTATTGATTAAGAAATGTTTATGTTTAATATTAGGTGAAAAAATATGTGAGGTCCAAATGGAATTCAATGAGTGATGCTGAAAAGGAACCTTACATCACACAGTCAATGAATGATAGTAAAGAATACAAAGAACGGAGGAAAGCACATGAAAATAAGGTATTCATTAAACTTGTAAATACGTTGATACAAAATATATAAGAACTATAACATTATATATTGTTAAAAAATGTAGGAAGTGTCGACAAGATGCAGCATTAAAAGGGTGAATTCATTGATTAAACACCTTAAGGAGAAGGGTCAGTTGAATGTGCTGGGAGAAATAGGTTTTGGATCGTTGGTAGGAGTAAGGGATCGACCTATTCGGAGGGAATTGTGTCGATCCTTGATAGCACAATTTGATGTCAGACAATGTATTGCTAAGTATGGTGATTTTTCATTTCCTCTCGGGATCCCATGTGCTGCAGCCGTATTGGGGGTAGAAAATGAAGGCAAAAGTGTTGTAGAAGTCTGTAAGAGTAAGGACTGGAAAGCACTTGCCTCCAAATATGGTTTGAAGCAGAAGGTGACATATGCTGAAATTGAAGAGGAAATAAAAAGTGGATCTTACGTTGGGGATGAGCTGAAGGCCAGAGTTCTATTATACATTGTCGGTATCTTTCTTTGTCCAACGGGTAATACGTTAATGAACAAGGAACATATGAAGCTCATTTGTGATGAAGGCTTGAAGGGTGAATTCAATTGGGCTGAATATATCCATTCGAGATTGATTGAATCAATAATCACCTTTAAAAAGGGCAGCCAGAGATACCTCAAAGGGTGCATAGCAATCTTAGAGGTAAATGAGTTGAAGAACTTTTTTGTGTTTTTATATAAAAATATAAATTTTATTATAAATGCAGGTTGCACTGTTCGATTTTTGGTCGGGCTGTGAGGCAGTGCCGACTTATGAAAGAACCGGAGTGGCACGCATCCGTGCATGGGGGAGGGAAGAGGTGGTTAGAGTGATGGTGAAGTTGAAGTTGGATAGAGCGAAGAAGCAAGAAAGGGTAATAAATGTAATTAAATAATATTAAGAATATAATCAATGTCTTAATATTGTAATTTAATTTTGAAGGTTATTGGCAAGGATGTAGAGGAGGCAGTGGAGGCAGAGGAGAAGAAAGGAGGGATGGTTGTATTGGGGGATGACGGTGAGTGGGACGAAGGTGAGGGAAAACATAGTAACTTCGACATTTTGATGTCTGAATTGGCTGATATCAAAAAAATCCAATTTGATATCATGCAAAGACAATCAAGAGTCGAAGAGAAACTTGATAGAGTCGAAGAGAAACTTGAGAGAGTCGAAGATACACTTGAGAGGCATAAGGGGGTAGTGGAAGGAAAAATAGATGAAGTGGTGAAAGAAGTATAGGTGTTGAGGGGTGAAGTGGTGAAAGAAGTTGGGGTGTTAAGGGGTGATATTAAGATGGTGACGGGTGAAAAATTTGAGGGAGTGGTGAAGGAGGTTGTGGAATTGAGGAGTGAACTTACGGGGGTGAAGGGGGTGGTTGATAAATACTTGGATGAAGGAGATCAATTAAAGGGTGAAATAAAAGAGATGAAGAGCT